AAAAAAAAAAAAAAAAAAAAAAAAACTAATATCAGTGAGCTGAATATTTTAAATGTGCAGAGGTAAGTGTTTTCACAACTAAAGTATACATCTGCCAATACCTTCTTGAACAAGGATCCTATTGGCAGAAACACAAGTCTGTCCACTATTCCGAAACTTCGATGCAATCTGAAAGATCAAATAAGGTTTCACTACTGAATTTTCCAAAGCGAGTTAAGTATGCACTTATAATAAATAGTAATCCTACTACTGATTCGCAACAATTATGGTAAATAGTACTACTTTCCCAAGTTTACCAAACAGAATGAGAAAATTAACTTACCTCGAATAACGAAAACTGCATGTAGAACATAATATTAAGGAAAAATAGAAGCATAACTTCAAATTAAGGTCATAATAGGCTCCAAAAGATGAACAATTAAAGAAGAACACAAACAGACTCCAACTCCCTTGTTTTGGAGGTAAGAGTGGCGATTGAACAAATACAAATCCCGAGGTACTCACCGTGTCACGAGCAAATATGGTTCTCACCCTTCCCAGTGAATGTTGGGTGGGATCAAACGCACTTCCAAAAATCCTTGAAAGATATTTCTAATGAGATCCCTTTCTTTTCTTATTTTGTTCAGTGTTTTGTGGGCAATGGGAGGATAAGTGATGGGAGGCTAAACTCCTGTACTCTAAGTTTCTTCATTTATTTCATTTGTTCTCTATAAGAAATTCCTCAAATGGCCTTTCTCATTCTAGGAGCTCTCCTTCTCTATTGTTGGGGTTTTGTTGTCCTTCATTTGATAGGGAAGTGGTGAATGTTATGGCTCTTTTATCCTTGATCCGGGAGCTTGAGATTAGTCATGGGAGAAGGGATATTCGTTTTTGGAGCGTAAATCCTTCTAAAGGTTTTCTTGTAGTTCTTTCTCACAGTGGTTACAAACTACAGACCAAAGCTTGTAGGAACTGCACTTGTGATCTTGTTTTCTCTACTGGCAAATTACTGTTACAAAATATGTTGTTTAGATTAAAATAAAATCTAGATTAGCACAATGGAAATGACAACCCAAAAAATTATGTCAAACCTGTTCTTATTACTTTTACCATAAATCCAGTTTGAGTTCCTATTTAACACAGTGGTAGAGTGTCGAAGTCATCCGTTCGAGCCTGATTATCCCTAATCCTATGAGAGTATTTCTATTTTTATTTGCTCCCAGCCATGATCAAATAAGAATGGATAAGAAGCTTGTGGAATTGACGTGAGGGGGTGGCCATGGCTATATTTCTAGGGGGGAACTCTAGGCAAATGGATATAAGTTATGTCTTGGAATGTTGCTGAAATGAAAATGTAAACAAAATTGATGCTCACATATTATATTAATAATCAATAATTTCACTTACAACTCCTTTTACTGCAACATCCACATCTGCATCATCAAAGACTATGTGAGGTGCATTACCCCCAAGTTCTAAGGACACCTAGAAAAGAGAAACGAGTATCAAAAACCACTTATGTTTCTTCAAATCTCCATTACCTGAAAAATTGCTTGCACTTTAGGAACTGTGAATACCTTTTTAACAGTCCCAGCAGCTCCAGCCATCAATTTTTTTCCAACTGCTGTTGAGCCAGTAAACGTGATTTTTCTAACCTGCACAGGTTGGATAAAACACAAGATTAAAGCAATAGCACCATACTGCAAAAAAATATCATTCTGTTAGTAATTGTAAGGAACCTGTGTACTTGCAAGTATAGCATCCCCAATAGCAGGAGCATCTCCCATAACCACATTCACTACACCCTACACATTAAAAAATCAACCAGTAGACATATATAATAAACTGAAAATTGCACCCAGTATTGAGTTGCAAACTGAAGATTACAGAGACAAATGCGACTACAGTGTTTGGAAAACACAGCACGGATTAACAAAAATGTAAAACAAAGAGAACTAAAATAGTTATTCTGTAACGGCCTAAGTCCACCACTAGCAGATATTGTCCTCTTTGGGCTTTCCCCTCAAGGTTTTTAAAATGTGTTTGCTAGGGAGAGGTTTCCACACCCATATAAAGAATGTTTCGTTCTCCTCCCCAACCGATGTGGGAACTCACAATCCACCTCCCCCCTCGGGGTCCAGCGTTCTTGTTGGCACACCGCATCGTGTCCACCCCCTTCGGGACTCAGTCTCCTTGCTGGCACATCGCTCTGTGTCTGGCTCTGATACCATTTGTAATGATCCAAGCCTACCGCTAACAGATATTGTTCTCTTTAGACTTCCCCTCAAGATTTTTAAAACGCATCTGCTAGGGAGAGGTTTCCACACCCTAATAAAAAATGTTTCGTTTTCCTCCCCAATCGATGTGGGATCTCACATATTTAGGCCAAGCTAATGTTTACGAATCTTCTCGTTTTTCCTCAGCAGTTAATGACAACACAACCAACTAAAAGTAATTTATGAATAAAACAACCAAATCCCAAGACTATCAGAAAAACAGGTACAAAGTCAAATTCTATTAATGTTGCCAATATAAATGCACAAGGATAACTTTCAAAATGAATTAAAGGGAAAACATCTTCATTAGTAATTACTGGGGGAATTCCAGCTTGCAATGAGAGCTCAGCTGCTGCTAAAGCTGTCAAGGGAGTAAGTTCAGAGGGTTTTATGACCACCGTACAACCACATGCAAGAGCAGGTGCAACCTGAAATGAAGGGGTATCATATAATACGGTTTTGTCAATAGTATATATTAATTGAAAGATCGTGTTCTCATTAAAGAAAGCAGCATAGTAAACAATTGAACACAAATGCTCATGAAGGGGACTAACCTTCCGTGTAATCATAGCCAACGGAAAGTTCCAAGGGGTAATAACACCAACAACTCCAACTGGCTGCAAAAGTAACTGTTTGTGAAAAACTATGGTACTGAATATTGCTAAAAGCTTCAACATTTTATATGAGACTAAGCATGACTATCGAAAGCGAGTGTGCATAAATTATAGAAGAAAAGAGTGTACTGGTGTGAGATGAAAGGGAGGCTCCCTTCAGATCTAGTACTCAAACCTAGGCATTACATGATCAGTGGAATTTCAACATGACAACTACAGTTTTAGGAAACACGGGATAGAATAACACAAATTTATTGTTCAATACTTCAAAGACTTATAAGATGGTCGCTTAGTATTCTGTGCCTTAAGCTCATGATAGAGATGCAATGTGTGGGTACAATATATAGATATTCCAAACATCTCCATATTGAACATTTCAATTAATTTTTTGGGTTGGTTGACTAATTTTGAGTAGTTTCCTCAAATGTACACATACTGATGCATGGAAGGCATTCAAGTAATCATAAAAAAAAATAACAAACAGCATTGAACTGTTATTTGACCTGCTTCAACACAAAAAGTCGACGATCAGCTATAGTTGGTGAGATTATGTCACCGTATACTCGTTTTGCTTCCTCGGAAAAGAATTCAAGAAAGCTGGCTCCGTAGTTTATCTGTATGATGATTTGGAAGATGTATGTTAAAAGAACAAAGTGCTGCCACATGAAATTCTGACGATTACTGCAGTGAACCATATGATACCTCACCCACTGATTCCTTTAATGGTTTGCCTTGCTCTAAGGTTATCAATTGTCCAATCTCTTCTTTGTGGGTAGTTAGAAGCTCGTACCTTCAAAATACAGGAGAAAGGAGAAACGTCATAAGAATGGCAAGTAACCAATGGAATAGTATTCCAAGGAACTAGGCAACAATGAATGTTGTAATGGTTCAATATCAAAAGTGCTCAATATTATTGCCTCTGCTACTTTTTATATATCCTTCTCTTACTCAAAGCCTACTCAGAGCACAAAAGAATACAATTTTCAACAAATTTATCTTGACATAAAAAGATGTTAATACTTTTATACTAATATCTCAAATTACTCGAATAAGATGATTCGTTTTCTCATAATATTCAATTGGAAATAAAAAGGAAAAGTAATAGCAGAGAATATAAATAAGCAAACTTAGAAAAACAAATGAATAAGTTGATACCATTTACGTAAGCGATTACTCCGATCAGCTGCAGTGAGCTTGCTCCAAGCTTTAAGGTGAATTAAGGTAGAGGGATCAAGTTAGTGAATTTTTTTTTTTTTTTCACAAAAACAACTATCATTGACTAAATTAACGGTTGAGAATGTAGCAGACCTTCACAATAAACTCAAGAGACAGCAGAAGGAAAGTGTTCTCTTACACATAATTTAAGAGAAACAAGTTGTATTTTATTGTAAATGACTTCATTTTACTTGACTTACCACAAATGACAAATCCTACACATATGAATACTAGTAGGAAAGTACATCAAAAGACATCAATATTAAATACCATATGTATCCAACTATTCATATATTCAACATGTTTCTAGATAAATTCTTCAAATAATGGAGGGGGGGGGGGGGGGGGGGGG